GAAGAAATGGCCGGGGTGGTGGCGTCTCTAAGGAGGCGGGAAAGGGAGCCATTCCCAGACTGACCACGTGGGGGCAGCCGCGGCCCAGCACCCCTCCATCAGACACCGGCTGTGCTTGGTGCTCTGCTGCCCCCTAGTGGGCATCCGGAACACGCGGCGCTCGGTGGGGAAGGACCCATCTCGGGGGAACACAGCCCTTGGTTCCTCCCCTTCTTGCTGCGGTGTCCGTGCCCACGTCCGCAGCACAAGGGGAAGGCTCGATGGCCCCGAGCTGGAGAGGAGCCGATGGGACAGAGACAGGAGGTGACGCTGCGCCCCTGGACCTGATCTCCATCCCTCCACCCCCAATACCTGCAGATCGCTGGGGTGCACTCCCACCCCCTCCCAGACCTGCCCCATGGCACCTTGGACCTGGCTGAGCTGGAGAGGGTGGTCACACGGGGCCTCGGGAGCCCCTACCACCCGGTCTGTGAGCTCATTTGCCTGGAGAACACCCACAGCAGCTCAGGGGGCCGGGTCCTCCCCATCGACTACCTACGCCAGGTAGGCCCTACCCCACCACTCTGCCCACCCCCAGCCAGCTCCTGGCTTCCTGTCCTGTGGAGCCCCTCTCCCGGGACTGTGTCTCCTCTTATACACCGTGGGTGCCCATGGCAGCTGGAACTGCGGCGGGAGGGACGTGTGTGGCTGGTCCTAGGCTGCAGATGTGGAGGGCACTACTGCCCCAGTTAAGGCCCCAAGGACAGAGACAACCCCCCTTCTCCCCAGGGAGGGAGTCCCAGAGCAGCACCAGCTTGTGCAGGGTGTGAGGGCTGAACCGTGCGGCTCCCTGGTGTGAGAACTTGCTGCTAACTGACCCTGCAGACCTACTCCTTGCCCATGGGAAGGGCTGAGAGCATCTCCCTCACGGAGCCATGGGGTGGCTTAAATAGGATGCGGCATCTCTGGCTCGCGCCACGTCAGCATTTGGCCACAGCGAGCCCGCCGTACACATGAGATAAAGCGCTCAGCACCAGCCCCCTTTACAGAGGATGGCACCCAGCCTCAGGCAGCAGAGTGCCTGCTCCGGTCCCTGGGGGCCAAGCTGGACACCAGCCCAGCTCTGCTCACTCTGGACCCCTCGAGGCCCCTGGAGACCCGTCCTCCCTCCGCTCTGGCCCCACCCCAGCCCCTCTGACCGCTGCCTGCTCTTTGCCCCCAGGTGCACCTCCTGGCGCGGAGCTACGGGGCCCGGGTCCACCTGGATGGGGCCCGGCTGATGAACGCTGCGGTAGCTCTGCACGTGCCCCCCGCCCGCATCGTGGAGCACTGTGACTCTGTGTCTCTCTGTTTCTCCAAGGTGGGGAAGCCACTGGCTGCCTCCCAGACACAGGACGGTGGGGTGCTCACAGTAGGAGTCAGCTGGTGTTCCCGAGCTCCGATGCTGGCAGCGGCTGGCCCTGGGCCCCTTTAGCCCCTCCCCAGACGGGGCCCCGTCCCCCTCACATCCCCCTCCCCTGGCCGCAAAGGCAAAGATGCACACCTGGGGGGCTGGCAGGCAGGACTCTCTCCTCTCTTCCTCCCAGGGCCTCGGTGCACCAGTGGGGGCCTTGGTTGGGGGGCCCAAGGACTTCATCGAAGAAGCCTGGCGCCTCCGGAAAGCCCTGGGTGGGGGGATGCGCCAGGCCGGGGTGCTGGCTGCCGCTGCCCTAGTAGGACTGGCGGACTTCGAGGAGGTGCTGCCGATGGACCACCAGAACGCTCAGAGATTCGCCAGAGGTACCTGGACCATGGCCCCCCCCCTCACTTCCTTTTGCTCCCAGAAGAGTGCCTGGGGGCCCCCTGTAGCGGGACCCAAATCCCCTGCAGGCGTACATCCTTCTGACTCTAGAACATGTAGGTTAGCCCTGAGCCACAAGGCGTGGGAGCCAGGGAATTAGAATGCTTTACCAGGCCTCACTGGTGGAGGGTCTGGACCAAGAAGCATGCAATGGATGTCAGGAATTCCTATTTCTTGCAGGATCTGGCCAAGTGGAGGCTCTAACCTAGGTCTTTACATCTGTCAGTTGAGTCCTCAAAACAATCCCATGGTGTCCCCACTTTACAGATGAGGATACCGAGGCCCAGAGGTTAACTGATTTGTCCCAGGTCACACAGCTGAAAAGTAGCAGAGCCAAGTGTGTGGGACTCCAAGGGTCCCTCTTTTCCCCACTATAGTCGGGCTGCCCTCTGCCTGTCCCGGGACGACAGGGCTGGAGGCTGGAGACTGGGGTGGGGTCCTGGGGTCGGGCTCCACTCACCACAGGCCCCGGGCTCAGGGTTCCAGGAGCTGGCGTCCCCCATCTGCTCCGTGGACCTCGCTGCCGTGGAGACGAACATGGTGATGGTGAGGGTGGACGGGCCGCCGCCCGAGGAGCTCTGCCGGCGACTGCAGGCCGTGAGCGCGGAGGAGGTGGCCCAGACCGGCCACGCGGTGCGCGTGCTGCTGTTCCCCTGGACCGAGCGGTCGGTGCGCGCCGTCTGGCACCGTGACGTCTCCGCGCAGGACACCGAGCTGGTGCTGAAGAAGTGGGGGTTCGTGCTGAGGCAGCTGGGGCCCTGAGGACGGGGTGACCAGACCCTGTGCCCTGGCCGGGATCCAGGTGGGGAGTGGAGGTGTCCTGAGGGAGCAGGTGGAGGAGAGGCAACGAAACAACACCCCGTTACCCCCTTGTCTCCTCGGACCCCCGACTTCCCACCCTCAGGGTGAAGCCTTCCACCTGCGTTCATTCAGCAAGCCCTTGGTGCCTCCCATGTCCCAGACAGGGCGCCACGAGGGCAGACAGGGGGTACCCCATCCCAGCCCCTCACCAAAGCCCAGGAAGCAGCCAGGGCAGGGCTTCTGCTCCCAGCGCACAGAAAAGGAAACTGCCCTGAGCCATTTGCTCGGAGTCGCGCAGCTGATGAGCGTGTCCCGTGCTCGGGCTGGGGGACACCGGAGCAAGGGTGACAGGAGATTAGAAAGGGACAGCGGGGCTGGATGGCAGGGAGCCCTAGCTGCTGTGTCGGGGGCTGGGCTTTACCCTGTGGTCATCTATATATTTTTTCCTTTTTCAAAAATAAATTTTCCTGCATACAAAAGAGTATGTCTTTATTGTAGATGATTTGGGATTGGATCTCGTTTTTAGCAGTTCCTGGGGTCATGTAGGCTCAGCGGCAGAGAGGGAGGCCCCCACCAAACCCCTGTGCTCGCCGCTCCCCAGCGAACCGCAGGAGAAGTCCAGTTAGAGCCTCACAAGCTGAGAGGACCTGCCCGCCAAGCTGCCCCTTCCGATGCAGAGGCGGGGGGTGGGATCCTCTGCCGCCCGTGCCGACCCACAGAGAAGGGACTTGTGTCTGCAGAGGACATCTCTGGATGGACGGACAGACACACAGGACATCTCTGGCTGGATGGACAGACACACACACACACACACAGCTGCTAACAGTGTTACTGCCCGCACACTGTTTATAATTCTGTTTTATCCATTCTGAAAAAATTTTAAGAGAGAAAAACAAGGCTTATCCGCTCGGAGCATAAACTATTTAAGGACCAATTGGCACAACGTTGCGACATGGAATGGTAAACACTAAAACATAAGTACAGAGGGAAGCCCTCAGTGGGACCCCCAAATGGTGCCAGCCCCCAGGGCCCCAAGGAGCTTCCTGTAACCTTTGGAGCGATAAAGGGGGGCTGGGGAGGGTACACCAGGGCCAGAGGGGCCGCCATCCACTCCCCGCACACATCCCAGACTCCTGAACCTCAGATGGGGCTGTCTGGGGCTTTGGGTGCTGCACAGCCCCCTGGGGACCCTTCTCTGCCACCTCGACTTCTCTACCTACAGGAATGAGCGAGCCTCACGATGGATGACCCAGGTGCCTAGCCACAGTGCGTCTGCGCCCTGGTCTGCGAGCTGAGCCCCACCCACGCCGTTTAGTAAGTCTGCGGCCCAAGCTCCAGGCCCGGCCTCTGCCTCCCTGGGCAGCCCCGGCCCCTCCTGGCTAAGAAGCCCCTTCGCCTTGCCACTGTGGCACGGCTCCCTCCACCTCACCCCTACTAGGACTTCCGCACCTGCTAGTTCTGGGCACTCACCAGGCCCCTGGAATCACAGACATTCCCCAGGGGGCTGCAGATGGGAGGATTGGGGTCCTGGAGCACCAGCCCAGCAGAGGCGGCAGATGCACCAGGACGAGGACAGAGGCCCGAGAACAGGGAGGGGGCCGAGGTGCATCCAGCCCACTCGGCTGCCCTTGCAAACCCCAGGGGACTCCCGGGCCCCCTCCTCAGTATCCTCCCCTGCAACATCTGCCCTTGAGCCAGTGGACCAAAGAGAGGCCTGGGAGTCCCACCCGATGTCAGGGCATCTGGCTCTGCCATGTGCTCTGGGATGGTCTGGGCCTCAGACTCCCCTTCTGTAAAATGGGTGAATGGTAACTAATGTGAAGGGCGACTGGAGGACTGGACAAGCAGATGAGCAGGTGATACTCTGCTCGGAGCCTAACTCAGTGGGTGTTTAACAGATACCTGCTTCTCTCTCAAATTCTCTCCTCCCCAGGACAGAGGGTAGCTCCTCCACCTGACCCAGGGCCCTAGGAACGAGGACAGCATGGCACACCAGGGCTGATGGGAGAGGGCGAGGGCAGGCTATGCCCTTGAGAGGCAAGGGGACCCACTGAGCACCAGGAACCTGCAGCACCCCCACACCGACCCCATTAACATTCCCTTGGGCCACTTGCTAACTCTTTCTGGGACTCCCTTTTCTCATCCCCAAGAGGAAGCCAAACCAATTGGTCCCTAAAGGGCATAGACCAGGCAGAGGAGCCCCCAAACATCCAGCTTTGCCAAGCAAGAGAAGCCTGGATCCTTGGCTCTGCCCCCAACCCCTGCCCCTGCAGGGGCCCCCTCCCAGCCAGAACTCCAGCCAGGCCTGCGGGTGCAAAGGGGAAACTGGGCCCCTCTGGGACTCAGATGACCACAGAGCAGGGGCCCCCCGGCTGCCGGCTCAGGCTGCGGGCTCGGGCTGCTGTGAGCAGGAGGAGGCCACAGAGAGGCCACAGAGCGCCTCCGAGGCCAGGGCTAGAGCCCAGCCGAAGCTCACCCAGATGTCCCTCAGGTGCTGGGGCCGTACTGGCGGGCGGTTTCAGTGAAGGGCAGGTGTGAGCAGTGGATGTAGATGCTGACCCCCACAAGGGTCAGGGCACCTGGGGGAGGGGGGCAGGGGGACCACTCGCTGTGTCTACCCTCTGGGGGCAACTGCCTAACCAGGTCCTGGCCGAGGCGGTCCTGCAGACCAGGAGCCCCTACCCACTGGCCTTTGGGGGAAATGGAGGCTCTGATTCAGTTCCCAAATCCCCAGACCTCACCCCACAAAACCCTCCTTATAAAGAGAACCACCTACACCCTCAGCAACAGTCCCCACTCACATAACTGCCCCTGCATACACAGCACCCTCCCGTATCCCCCAGTGTCCCCGACACACACACACACACACACACACACACAGAGCCAGTGACCTCTACTGGCAGTCGGGGAGCTCTGGAGCTCTGGCCAGGCCCCCCTTCCTCACAGTGCCCCCCACTTCATTGGGTTACCCCCGCCGCTCCTCTGGCCCTAGCCTAAGCCTCCAGCTTCTGCAGGCCCCCCGCCTGCCCCCAGGTCTGCGATCCGCCCCCCCCAGGCCTGCTCCCATCAGTGTCCCCGACGCTGACACTCTCCTCCTTCTGGCGCTGCAGAGAGCTGACAGTGACGTCAGCTGACCCACTGCCAAGAAGCAGCCCCCGCGGGGACAGCAGTGGTGCAGCCAAGGCTGGACCCTGGGCGCACGGAGCAGGTCAGGTGTTCCTTGAACCAGGTCCCTCGGAAGAGGAGCGCCCCTGAGTAGCTGCCTCCAGGCCCTCCCTCCACCCACTGGCCCGGGCCATGTTTCTGAGAGCATAACGCCAAGGCTTCCTGGATACAATCCCACCCCTTTGCTCCTCTCCCTGGCTTCCCAAGCTCCTCTTAATTGGATTTGGACCCACACAGCCGGTGTCTGGGGCCAGGCCACAGCTGACATGCTGACTTCTCCTGCTCTCATTCTCTACAGCTCATGCCCAGGCTGCAGGTCCCCCAGGCTCCCGGCACCCGGCAAGCCCACCCGTTCCCACTTGGCCAAGGCCTCCCACAGGGCCCAGCACCCCCTGGGGAGGAGGCAGGCCTGCCCCAGAGGGAGCCCTAGGCCGACATGGTCTGGGCCTCAAGTGCCATGGCCTTGACAGTAGAGCTGGCCCGGATGCCAGACCCAGCTTAGGCCTTGCCCCTGACAGCACAGGCCTCTGATGACTGACCCCAAGGAGCCCCAGCCCACCATCAGTGACAGCTGGCCTTGGGCAGCAGGGGGCACCAAAGCGGGGGGCACAGGATCCCCAGGACAAGCTTCCTGCTGACCTTGGTGAATCCTTGGACACCTCAGCTGGAAGCTGGGACCACAGGGAGGCCACAGCTGCAGCCCCAAGGGAGTGCCTGGCCCCCGCCCAGCAGAGTCTAGACGAATGTCAGCTGAGGGACTGTCACCAGTCACATTCTGGGCCTGGACCGGGGTCACTGCCAAGGGCTGCGAGGCCCCTTTCCACCTGTCTTACTGCCTGGGACTGCCCACTCTTGTTCCTCCCACCAGGCCACTCCAGGAAGCGGAGGAGAACAGGTGGGGGCCGGTCTCATGCCCCTTGTGCAGGTGTAGGAGGGCAGGTGCGGGATCGCCTTGGGGAGCCTCATGCCTCCTGTGCCTAGAAGCTCAGCCTCCCTGGCTCGAGGCCCACAGCCAGCACTCCTGCCCCTGTCCCTAGAAAGGCCCAGTACTACCCAAGGGGCTTTCGCCTGCTGCGGCTCAATCCCCTGGGTGGGCCCAGGCTCAGCACAGGCCAGATGGGAGCAGGGGACAGGGTGGCAGGAGAGGAGGCACCCCCACTCCCAGGATCTGTGCCCCCCAGGGTGCCCACACTCACCCCCCAGCAAGAAGTAGCAGCCGGTGAAAAACAGCAGCAGGACGCTCTGTGCCAGGGAACTGAAGAGGCCACAGATCCAGCCACACACGACAAGGCCGAGGCTCAGGGGCAGGACCACCATGACAGCTCGATGCAGGGCTGCCAGGAGAGGGGGCTCAGCATCTGGGAAGGGACCTGGACCTGCCCCCACCCCCCAGGCAGCTCCAAGTGAGCACTTCAGAGCCCTGTCTGCCTGGAGGTCCACCTTCACAGGACAGTTTTGCCTGGAGATTAAGGACAGACAGGAGATGACTCGGCTGCAGGACTCACAGATGAGGTGCTGCACAGGGGTGGGGACATCCAGGTTCTCACTGTCAAAGGGGTTGATCAGGGGGATGCAGCTGTTTTGCCCTAAAAAGCAGAAAGGACACAAAGCCTGGTGGGCTGGACACCTGTGGGGTCACCACCCACCCTGAGTTTCTCTGAGATGGGTGGTCTTGCAGGCATGCTGGACAGCACGCTCTCACCCCTGCCGAACCCAGTGGGCTGACCAGTGGCCATGGAGCCCCGTCAGATTCTCTCCTGGACCCCAGAGTTGTGGTTCCAAATGGGTTTGGAGGGTTTAAGACCTTCTGTTTTGTTTCTGTAACATACAAATAATACCTACATGGATGTCGGTCTAAAAATCACAAACATCCAAGAGACACTGCCCTCAGCACTCCCGTAGGCTTGGGGCCCTGAGCATGCTCACGTGTGGCTTTGCCTGGACAGGAAAAGGTGCGCGTAATGTGGACTCTCTGACTCTTGCACACACACATGCACACCCACTCGCATTTGCAGACACACACGTGCACACGCCAGGAGGGCTTTGGAGCATTAGGCCCAGTCCTTTCAGTGGCTGAACCAACAGCTCATCTTTCCTCCCCAGCTGCCACGGAGGAAGGCATGGTCACGCACGCACATGCACACGTGTGCACACACACACTCATAGTCACCTACACATACACTCACATGCACACACGCATTCTCTCTCAGACACATGCTCACACATTCAGAGTCACGCACACATGCTTGCACTCACACTGACCTAGGCTTACAGGTATGCACGCACACGTTCACACGCTCTCCCAGGCGCTGCTTCCGCCTAGTGCCGTTCCTGTGCAGGGGAGGCCCCCAGCCTGCTGGCGGCCCCCTCATGCAGGCCTTGCAGAGGGAATGCCTTCCCCTCTCTCTGCGGGTCCGAAATGCATGCAGCACTCCTGTTTGGCGTCCGAGCGCGTGTCAAGTCGTCAAGTGGTGGTGGTGGGGGGAAGGTGGAAAGAAACAGGGGTCTTTCCCCGGAGCCCTGGCTGTGCCAGGCTGAACCTCTGCGGACAGCAATTGAGAAACAACTCGTGGTCACTTGGATGTGGACCTGGGGCCTTCCTGGAGGCCCCCAGTGCCCCACACCCGCTCCCACCTCAGCACCCACACCCCTGCTTGAGGAAGAACAGCAGCCCAGTGCCCTGGGTGGCGGGCCTGCCCCTGCTTTCCCCCCTCATTCCTCCAACCATCCCCCACCCGTTTGCACCCTGAGAAGTATCGCTTTCTCCCCATCTGACGAAGACTTGGGAGGCGGAGGAGGGACGAGCTCCTAGGTCAGGCAGCAGCCCATGGCAGAGCTGAGAGCCTGGCGTTGACTTGTCATCTACCAAGTAATGTGCCCACAACTTCTAACACAAGACACCCCCGCCCCGCCAGCGAGGGCAAGGGACTGCCCGGGGCTCCTGCTCCCCGGGCTCTTGGGTCCTTATGGAGCCATGCAATGCCCCCCCCAACCCTTTCATTTCTGAGCCCGGATTGGTAGCCCTACTGTCACTGCCCGGTTTTGGGAGAGGACAGAGTCCGGGATGGGGAGTGGGGGCACGAGGGGGCGCCGCCCTGCCCGTGCCCTCTGCGCCCGGCCCGCCGCAGCCGTAACTTCGCAGACCGCCAGAGCCCCAAGTGCAAGGACAGCTGCGCAGCGCGCCTCGTGTCTGCCACCTCCAGGTGGCCAGTAGCCGCTGGCCACGGCGGCCGCCAGCAGTGCGAAGCTGAGCCGGGTGCCCAGGGCGGCGGCCAGGAGCAGCGCGCCCAGCCGGGCCATGCGGGGCTGGGGGATTTGGGGAGCGGAGAGGGCCGAGGGAGTGAGAGAGTGTGGGGAGAGAGGAAGCGGGGAGTGGGGGGAGAGAGGAAGCGGGGAGTGGGGGAGCCTGGCCGGGGAAGGGGCGCCTGGGATTTGGTGAGCTGGGCCGGGGATGGGGCGCGGTGGAGTAGGGGGCACGGTTAAGGGGATGCGGGGAGCCGGGGCGGGCACGCTGGCGTGTCCGCTCCAAGGCTCTTCTGGATGCGGTGCCCCCTTTTCTGCCTGTGCGCGGGCCTCGCGATACGCACCCCCAGGCTCGCAGGAAGATCGGTCCCACCTCTCGGCGACGGCGAGAGCTCGGCTCCAGGGGACAGAAGGAAATCTCAGAGCCACAGGTACACCCGCCACAGACCTGGGTTCAAATCCCAGCGTCCCCGAGGAGCTGGCCGCTGGAGTGGGTCCCTGGGCAAATGTCTTAATCTCTCCAAATCTCTGGTTTCTCAGCTGCCAAATGGCCGGGCTAAGGAGGAGGAAGGGTGGGGCCTGCGTTGCCCCAGGAGGGAGCTCAGCAGGCAGCTGACCGACCTCGCTGGCCAGGAAGCCGCAGCCTGAATGGTGGGAGGCAGCCACCCCTGGCTGGGGCAATTGGCCGCCGGCTGGCCCTGTGGTCCTGGTCTTAATCCGTCTCCAGGACTAACCAAAGGGATCCAGCGAAGTGGGGTGGATGGGCAAAGAGCCTAGGCAGGCTGGCACGGGGGCTGTTGCTTCCAGTGAGCTTCGACTTACAAATGCCACAGGGGGCGAGGCTGGGTTCTGCCTCTGCATCACTCACTCAGCCAACACGCGTGAACCACCTTCTAGGACATGGGCCAGGCGCTAGTGGGGTGGGTTGCAGAGGGACCTCAAAGGGCCCGAACCCAGGAGGAGGCAGTGACAGGCATGGTAGTGGCGGCTGTCACAGTGGGGCTGTCTGGGGTGCAACTGTGGGCAATGGGAGGGCCTCCTCTCGGGCCCCTGGACAGTCGGTCGCTGCCCCCCCCCAGGGTCTGGGCAAGAGCCTGCAGAGACAGGGTCCGGGGCTTTACGTCCACATCGTCACTGAAGGTAACCCTTCGCAGATGAAGTAGCTTCATGACCCGGGGTCATCCCAGGGCTCTCATTTCTGTTCGTTCCAGCCCCTTTTTCTGTACCAGGCATTTCTCGGTTTGAGGAATATGGTCAGGAAAAAACATTGCAGCAAGGTTACTGAAACAATATTTCAAGGGGCACTCAGAGCCCATGGCACTGTTTTGGGTTCCTGCAGGCCGTGCATCTTCCCATGCACCGCGCCCAAGGTTGGACTGGGGCACAGAGCGGGCCTGGGGGCTTCCCTGCTGTGGCAGTGGGGACACCCCAGCCCCTGCTCGGCCAGCTGGGTGGCAGCCAGGGGTCCTTCTCTCTCGGGCAGGTGAAAGAATCCAGCAAGCATACAGGGCAAAGGAGGTGAGGGAGGTGATGAGGGTGAGGCAGCCATCTACAAAAGCAGGAGGGGAGGGGGGCTAGGGAAGGAGGGGAGCGTGGTGGCAGTGCAGGGCCCCTGCTGGAGAACAGCGGGGGAAGGCGAAGAGTGACCCCAGCCTTTACCCACAATGTGACAAGGACCAGTACTGCTTTAGGTGGGTCAAAGCCGCCTTCTGTGTGTTTCAGGTATGCGAGACTGGGAGAGCCGGCGGACCCCCCAGGCTGCACGCTCCATATGCTTCTTCCCAGTGACCCCTGACTCTCAGCCCAAGCTTGTCTGAAAGGGTCTTCTTTGCAGCCCCATAAAGAAGATTCTGCTGGGGCACTCGGGTGGCTCAGTCGCTGGGCATCTGCCTTCGGCTCAGGTCATGATCTCAGGGTCCTGGGATTGAGCCCCATGTCAGGCTCCCTGCTCGGCGGGAAGCCTGCTTCTCCCTCTCCCACTCCCCCTGCTTGTGTTCCCTCTCTCACTGTGTCTCTCTGTCAAATAAATAAATAAAATCTTAAAAAAAGGGGGGGGGATTGTGCTGTCCGGGCCAGGGACGGCACTGCTTGAGGCCACCGTCTGCAGAGCCACGCAGCTCCACACAGGAATAGACACATACTCCCCTCACGACACAGTTGTCGATGGCCAGGTTAGCAGTCTACACCCTGTCTGCTTTAAAGTTCAGTGTTTGAAACCCAGTGTGTAGCTGGTAGCCACTGGATTGTCCCCTAGGCAGTAGGTACCGGTCCTCGAGGGGCTACTTGGATGAATTCCACCAGTCTACTTCCCTAAGACGGACCCAGATTATACCCTAGCGTGGGTCTGAAACAGTGCCACTTTGGAATGACCGCTTTTTTCATTGGTCATCCTCCTACCATAGACTCATAACCCATAGTTAGAGCTGTCGCTCAGCCACTTGGTGATCCAGGACATCAGGGCCTCTTCAAAGTTAGCATCAGACCACTACCACCAAAATCAGGGCCAGGAGGAACCTTTGGATGGAAGAAATTCCAATTATAAGTGACAAAGAAACAGGGCTGCACCCAAACCTTTTTATAAAACTTACATTCAACTATCTCTTCAGGGACAGCAAGAACAGGATGTCTGACCCCAGCAACAGCCATGGGGCAGGTGAGCCTCCTGGTCCAGGCTGATGCCACAGTGCATTGCCTCCAGCACAGGGCTGAGGAAGCAGCCAAAACTGTCGGAGAAATCACCGAGCCGCTTAGCATCAGTTCCTTCACAACTCAACTCACTGCACTGGGCAAACTCCTCCAACAGAAACTGAACCTTGCTAATTTACCCACATGTCAGTGCATGTAATCAGGGTGCATTATGAAGCTAATCCACCCGGGAGATTCATCGAGACACTGTTCTAGTCAAAACCAACCACGCTAAAGGGTTCTCAAATGGTGGAGGTCGTAGGTTAGAAACAGAGGTCTTTCACATTGATGTGGACAGCGGACATCCTGTGTGGGACATGGCGCAGACGGGGAGGCAGCCACACACCTGGTTAGACTCATCCCCAGGAACCAACAGGATCTATGAAGGACTCCTCATGGCCACACTGGACTCGCCAGCATCTGTCCACCACTGACGCCCCCACATCAGAACGCACTACAGCCCTGAGCGCACACTTGCGCTCCCTCCCCGGACACAGCATTCCCTTCTTCCGTCATCCGGCAGCCTCCTCCTGGTTGCTGGACAGACAGCTCAGATCTTCCGTGCTGCCCCCAAGGCAGAGCGGTCTTCTCAGTCTGCACATCACACGGCTGTTTGTTGGCCGTGGTCTGGAACCTGAGCTCATGGTGGGAGACTGAGTCCTCTCCGGCCTTCACTCAATTCCTGGGCATAGCACTGGCTCACAGTAGGCGCTCAAGCATCTGAGTGAACAGGCAGACAGACGTCCCCACTCTGGGGATCAAGGGGAAAATAACCACAGAGAAGCTAAGGCCCCAGTTTGGTTGGTCAGCTGAAAACAGGCTCCAATGCTGTAGGCTGAGCCCAGTGGAGGAAAATCTACAGCGCAGTTGGTTTTTTTGCTTTAAGAGCTAGATTCCCTGCCCTCCCCCCCACCACTGCCCCAGACAAGAAACCCTTTGTGATGGCAACTCTGGTTCAGAGCAAGGCGGGCTGCACAGTGGAACTCTCTTTTCAGCTCAGACCCTAGATGTCAAAAGCACAGACATTTTACTGTAGCTACAACAGAGCAAACTGGGTGAAGGGTACATGGGGCCCCTTCATACTATCTTTACAAGTTCCCATGAATCTTAGTTCAAAATTTAAAAAAATGTCAGGGTGACTGGGTGGCTCAGTCAGTTAAAGTGCCTGCCTTCGGCTCAGGTCATGATCCCGGGGTCCTGGGATGGAGCCCCGCGTCGGGCTCCCTGCCCAGCAGGGAGCCTGCTTCTCCCTCTCCCTCTGCTGCTGCTCTGCCTACTTGCTCGGTCAAATAAATAAAATCTTTTTAAAAGATTTTTTTAAATGTTGTACTAGGAGGATCAATGGAACCCTTGGGGAGACATGTTTCCGTTCAACAGAATGAAGGCCTTTCTGACAAAGCCGTCTGAAAAATGGAATGGGGATGGTTTCAAGATAGCCCTGTCTCTGGAGTCGGGCAGTCGACCCCGGCCACACCCGCAAGGCCGGGCCGCGTCATTCATCAGGGAGGGCCCATTTCTGGGGCCAGGATGCCTGGGTTCAATCCTCAACCCTAATAGTTCCTAGTTGTACGATCTTGGACAAGCTACTTTGCCTCTTTGCCAAGTCTCTATTTCTGCATGAAAAAAATGCAGATAAGATCACATAAGACTTTATTGGCAATTGTGAGTTATTTCTCTTTAAGGGCAGCCTGCAAAGAATGGTCAGCACCCCAAGGGGGTGCCAACCTGCAGGCAGTGGCCGATGGCTCCACTCTTGGCAGGTCACTTTTGGCCGCAGGACTTGGTCAGGCTGGCACTTGTCACTGTGCTGGGGACAGGGGGAGGATTCGGATTCCTGAGGCTGGCCTCTAGCCCTCTAACCTGTACACCACCCTCTGCACCCGACAGCCCATAACCACCCATCACAGCCCTTTCCAGACTCCCACCAGACTTGGAGAACCCAAAAGGGGACACGTATTTGAAAAAAAACCTGAGGCTCTGGCCCTTGGTAAAGGCTTGTGGCTTGATTAATGGAGGTTTCTATTTAGTGTTCCGAGGGGACAGACATTAAGGCCCAGTGATAAATATGGTCTCTGGAAAATACCTCTGCAGAAGGGGAGTGTAAGATGGATTGAGGGTCAGCTCCAGCTGGGTCTCACCCCACAGCACAGCCTGACGAAGCCAAGAACCACATCACTGCCCACTGTGAAAAGGCCCAGCTTCTCTACAAAGCCAGCTTGTAAGGACCCGTTATTACAGTGAAGGATCCATTTACAGACTGGCACAAATATCAAAATTAAGCAGCTTAGATGAGTACAGAGGCTGGAGAGCTTTTTTCCCCCCCAACAGAAATCACTGCAGTAAATAATTTATTCTCCAAGCTTGCAGGGAAA